TCTCGCCTTCCTGACAGGTATATAGATGTGCAACATTTAACAATCCAAATCTGCACTCCAGTACAATTAGCCTTTAACGAATTCATACTGTTCTTTATTTATTAACTTATTTACTAACTTTTTTAAAGCATCAATTAATTTTAACCTGTACCAATTAATTATCATTTAGTAATAATTTTAACTATTGTTACTAAAGATTGTCCCATCATTGCTGGTCTATATTTGCTGTGTTTACCTCTCTCACCTTTTTGTACCAAAGGATGATTCTGACTAGTGATTCTACAATTTTTACTCTTACTTTCCCCAGTAATATAAGATGCCTCCTATCTGAACTTGGCCCCTTTTTTCTACTCTCAGGACCAACAATCTTTTAAGTATCTCCTCTTTATTCTATACAGTTTCTCAACCAGCTGTTCATTAATTGTGGTATTGGCAGCATCCTTTTATTTAGTAAAACTATTGCAAAGTACTTCTGCAGTACCTCAATTAAGCCTTCTGCGTTGACAAGAAGATCTTCCTTTTAGTCCATAATTATGTCCTTCATTTGACAACTTTTCTTTTTACTTTCTATAAATAAGACTTTTGGTTTCCCTTTTGCTTATCCTTTCATATACTCTCTACTTGCTTTATTCTTATTCCCTTTGTAAGTTTTCCATTGTCTGTGTTTGACTTCATTTAGTACTTTATTACTAATCTGTCATTTATCATAGGCTTTCTTGGTGTTTTTTTTTCTTTTAGTCTCATGTGGGACTGATTGTTAACTCACCTAAAACCCATTCACTTGTACTTAAGATGGGAAGTGCATCCAAACTATTGTGGATGTGTCTGGTAAATAACTGAACAATTTGTTTGCAGCCTCACTTTGTCAGTTATTGTTTTACTTTCCAATTTTTGATCCAAATCTACCTGATCAGGCCTTTTTACAGTTCACTGAAATTAGCCCACCTTAAGTTGAGTATCTTCAAATGTAACTTTTCCTTGTCCCTTTACTTAGTCTCATTAGATCTGGACTAGTTGGAATCAATAGTTCCCAATGCTCCCCCACTATGACATGCTGCATCTGCCCTACTCATGCTTGAGAGTTTGATTCTGCACTGCTTTCTTTTACTGGGCTGGAAACAGTTATTGAGAAATGTCACTAGTACAAATTTCAGAACTGATCTTATTTCTTTTTATACTCTTACTTCCCTAGCACATTTTAGGACAGTTGAACTCTCCCATTATCTGTCATTAGTCTTTTTGCAATTTGCCTATTCCATCTCCTTCCTCAAGGAACCTGCATTGGATGGCATTCATGTTAAAGTCAATGTGTGACTACATTTTCTAATTATATGCATTTTATCGTTCAGGTTTAGCATGATAACATGGTAGGGCAAGGCAACGTGTAAAACTCTTCCATTTCTATTCTTGTCTTTAGTGTAACTGTAATCTGTACTCCTTCTGCAAGTGCCTCCTCAAATCTAAAAGCACGATTTTCTTGAGACCTCTCCAGAATCCTTTCTGACAAAAACATACAGACCCCTTTCAGTTATTCTAGGTACATTTTCTGTTCCTCTTGTCCCACCTGATTGACAGAATTAATCTTCAACCTGAAACTCGGACAAGCTCAATAACAATCCCGGCCTGTTTAGCTTTCTTAAATCCAGATGCCTTACCTTCTCCAAACCACTCCAAATGTGGCAATCTACTCTTGGTGTGCTTTAAGGACTGCCCACTCCCCACCCTCAAACAACCATCGAGGTCCCAGGATATAGACTTTTATTTACTTCTGAATTTTAATGTCAGTTTCTTTTTAAATCTGACTGCTGTAACCAAATTATGCAAAACCAAAGATATCAATGACCAGTCAACACATGGAATCTTGGAGCAAATTACTGCAAATGCTGGAATCTGTATTGAAAACATCTAGACTCGAAACGTTAGCTTGCTGTCTCTCTGTGGATGCTGGCTGACCTGCTGTGATCTCCAACATTGGTAGTTTTCAACACTTGCAATCTTGTATTGTCATTATTGTAAACATAAATTTGAACCAAATTATTTTAAGGAAAAACTGAAACTGTTTGAAATCTTTGGAAGAGTTTATGACTGAAACGTTATCTAGTCTCTCCTCCCTATAGTTGTTGACCAGCGATGTCTATTTCTTTGCTGTTTATTTACTTACAATTATCTAACATTTTAAGTTTTAAGCTTGAAAACTGTGTATGGGTATTTTTATATAGTATATTTTAAAGACCTGCACCAAAAATATTCATCGGAGTGCCTGAAGTCAGTAGGAATCCAGCTAGATTCACCAATGATTCCAAAGATGTATTTTTCACTACGGTTCTAACAGACAGGCAATAATTTTGACTCTTGCCATCCATAGTATGTTTTCTGATTCATTGTCTAAAAAATACTTTTCGTGATCTTAGCAGATGATTGTGTAATGCATTTGAACAATATTCCTGCACCTACTGTACTATAAAACAGAAGTGTTAACCCTTTTCAAATCAGTACAAATTGTGTTTGTTTATCATGATATGATAGTCTTATCCCTTTAAATATGTTCTCCTGGTTGTCACTGTTCGAATAGGATGAATTCTGGTTCATTGAGCAGTATAAAACAGCATGCTAGCAAAGTGCCAACCTGCTGAAGCTACAAAATGCGTGCTAAACAGCGAAAGTACTGTTAAGTAGACAGAGCTAAGCCGTCCCAAAATCAGCATCAGGTCAAAACTCTGCAGTGTTGGCTCATCTGATCATAAATAATTTTGGACAATTTAAAGTACTGACTGGAGGAGGAGGTTCCATGAGCAAGAACCTCACCAAGACTCCTTCAACAGTAGTTTCCAAAACTGGAACCTTCACCTCAAAGTACGAGGGTAGCAGATGCAAGAGAACATCACCACCTCCAAGTTCCTCTCCAACCCTACACCAACCTTACTTGGAACTATATTGCAGTTCCTTCACAGTCACTGAATCAAAATCCTGGAGCGCCCTCCCTAACAGCACTGTAAATATCCTAACACCTCAAGGACTGCAGCATTTCAAGAAGACAGCTCACTGAAAGTGAGTCAATACAATGTGGAGCTGGAGGAACACAGCAGGAAAGTTGATGTTTTGGGTTGGGACCCTTTACCAAGAAGGGTCCTGACCTGAAACATCGACTTTCTTGCTCCTCTGATGCTGCCTGACCTGCTATGTTCCTCCAGCTCCACATTGTACAGACAGCTCACCGCCACCTTTTTCGAGGACAATTGGGAATGGGCAATAAATGTTGGCCTAGCCAGTGACATCCACGTCCCATGAACAAATAATTTTAAAAATCCCCATCTTCAATGATGGCAGAGCCCAGCAGCAAAAGATGAAGAATTTGCAAATATCTTTAGCTGTGTAGATCTTGTTCTCAGGATCACACCATCACAGAAGGTAGCCTTAAGCTAACTCAGTGCACCCCACATAATACCAATGAAATTAATACAGCAAAAGCCACCAGCCCATACAATACTTAAGCTCTCGCAGTGGCACCACCTAATAAAATGGAACATTGTCCAGGTATGTCTGTAAAAAGCAGGGCGCATCCAATCCAACCATTTACTGATTAATTGTCTAACAATCATCCTCAAAGTGATGGATAGGATCATCAAAAATGCTTTCAAATTGTGTGTAACAATCTACTGAGCTCCAGGCCTCGTTATAGCTTTGTTTCAAACACAACGAGCTGAATTCCAGAGATGAGGTGATAGTGGCTACCCTTTACATCATGTCAGCATTTCACCAATTGTGGCATCAAAGATGTAGTAAAATTAATTAACAGTAAAGTGCTGGGAACGGGAGAGATGGCAGGGAAGGAAACACTTCACTGAATGGACTCGTAACCCAACAAGATGTTCGGAGGCCTATCATCTCAGCCTTGGCATTACTGCAAGTGTTCCCTGGTTGTCTCCTAGGCCCAACCATCTTATCTGTTACATTAGTGACTTTCCGTTCATCGTAGGATCAGAAATAGGATGTTTGCTAATTTGAGAATGTTCAGTTCTATTTGCAACTCCTCAGATAAAGAAGCAGTCCATACCTTAATGTAGCAAGACCTACCAGAAGCTTACCTGAACAACCTGCTGTTGTTACAAGAGCAGATCAAAATCTGGGTTGGGTATTCTGCAACAAGTAACCATCTCCTGATGACTCAAAGCCCTACTACCATTCATAATGCATAAGTTGGGAGTGTGATCAAATACTCTTCACTTGACTGAATAAGTACTTCAAATAACGGCCAAAACCTGACACCATCCAGGATGCACAAGCCCACATGACTAGCGTCCTATCTACTGCCTTATATAATCGGTAATTCTACCTCTGGCACATCATGGCTGCAATGTATACCATCTGAAAGGTGCATTGCAGCTACTCACCAACGCTTCTGTGACAGTGTCGTCCAAACCTGTAGCCTGTGCCAATGCTCTAAATACACTGTCGTAGTAGGCAAATTCACTGGAAAATCTCAAAAATACCTAGGAAAATACAGACAAAAATCTCAGCAGTTATTTGTGTCTTTTGCTGAAGTACAATATGCGCAGTCCATGGCAACAGCTAAATAGAAAAGAGTTACAAGTGATTACCGTCTTTGTTGCAGTATCAAACATGACAAACCAGTCACAAGATGTACATGAGTTATGTGTAGAAGTTGTGGAGAGTTAGGGTTCATTCCTGGTCATTTTAGCAGATATTAGCAGTAGACAATTCACTGCTCTAAAGGTGTCCAGTTTTTCAAATAGCTCATTAGCATTGATGTACTGGTCAATTCCTGTGCTAAACAACGATCGCTGGAATTGCTAAACTGATCAAAGTGCTCAATTATGAAGGAGCTTAGAGGTTGATTTTTTTTTTTAATTCTTATGGAGATTCATTCACTGCCAGTCATTCACCCTACAGTTTATAATTTATTGTATACAGATCTGAGTTTATTGCCACGGATAATTATTAATGATAAAATCTTTTTCTTTCTCTGTCTTTCGGTTGAGATACTAAACAAAGACCCCGTATGCATTCTCAGGTGGGTATAAAAGAAGAACAGCACAAGAGTTCTCGTGTTCTGATTAATATTTCTGGTTCAACCAATACTGCTAGAACAGATGATCTTGCATTATCATATTGCTGTTTGTGGGGTTTGCACATCTTCTAACTTGATAGCAACGCATCCAACAGTGATTACATTTAAAGTATCCATTCGCTAGGTGAAATTGTCGTAGGTGAATAACATTCTAGCCCAGTCAATGACTCGTCTTGTCAAGCAAGCAATCTGTCTGGTATGCAATCATACTGAATTTTTCCTCGTCATCCTTCGAAAAAATGATGGAACAGACTTTTGTGTAAAGTACTTGGACTGTTAAATGGAATGTGTAGTTATGTTATTTGAAGAATAAGTAATATTCCAACAAGGAGTATTTTTCTCTTTTTTTTTAAAACTCTCTTTATATGTTGCCTTGGACATTTTTTCTTCGCTAAGAGCACTATAAATGGAAGTTGTTCAATTCATTGTATACACGTGTAAAAGGAGTTAATTGCTTTTCTTAAAAAAAAAAGCTTATTGAATGAAATATCTAGAGATTATATAAGCAAATGTAAGCAAAGCATTAAAATATTCAAATAATCTTGATATATTGTAGCATAATATAAAGTACTCCTAAAATGAGTGCAAATGCATTGTAGCTTTGGGTTATTGGGTCAGTTAGTACATGTTTTGTATTTAATCTAGTTCCTTTCTTGTACTTTCTAGGGTCTAAATATGGAACTGGCTAATCATGGTCTAATCCTGCTACAACAACTCAATGCCCAGCGAGAATTTGGCTTCTTATGTGACTGCACAGTGGCTATAGGTGATGTCTATTTCAAAGCACACAAGGCAGTGCTTGCCTCTTTCTCCAATTACTTCAAAATGCTATTCATCCATCAAACCAGGTAATGCTTGACTCAGTTGTAAAATTTGAAATAAAAGTATATTGGATTTGTTCTGATTTGCACACTCATTTTCCCTTTTTTAAAATCATCTTATCCCAATGGATTGTATCAAAACCAAGAATGTTATAAAATGTGAAAAGCCACAGATTCAGTTTGACATTGATGCCACTTACTTGTCAGCCAAGTGACTGCTAACCCCTCATCTGCAGGGTGAAGGCTAATTTCTGCCCACAGAGCACTTTTCCTAAGTGGCTGAACTGCCCATCTTCAATTGTGCTTTTCTGTAACTTGTAAAGTGATTTTTGTTCATTTGACTTTGTTTGTTCTGTTTAATGCTTCTGCTCGCCTGAAAATATTTTAAAATATATTTTCACAGTGACTGTGTCCGTCTGAAACCAACTGATATTCAGCCAGATATCTTTAGCTACCTCCTGCATTTAATGTACACTGGGAAAATGGCTCCCCAGATCATTGATCCTGTCCGTCTCGAGCAGGGAATTAAGTTCCTACATGCATACCCACTGGTACAGGAAGCCAGCTTAGCCAGCCACGGAGCAGTTCCTCGTCCCGATCAGGTTTTCGCCTGGACATCGTCACTGTATGGCATCCAGATTGCAGATAATCAAACCACGTCTCAGAGTAGGTTATCAGCTACAGAAAAGTCTTGTCGAGAGCCCAGGTCACATGTTCATCCTTCTCGGATGGAGCAAGAACGAGGTGCAGAAGCTAACCAGCAGCATCCCCAGGGTGCACAGATTCTTCAGCCTTCTCAACATATTGGGCAGTCATCTGCAGCAACTTCAGGGACACAACAAGGCTTGATTTCTGCAACTGGCCCCCCAGCAGCTGAAGAACGATGCGAAAATATCCCTGTATTAGACGGGCAGCCAGGAATACATGCAATAGCTCATGTTAAACCCAGTATTATGAAAAGGAACAGTGGTTTTCCCAAGTTTTATGTCTGTCATCTTTGTGGTAGAAGGTTCACTCTACGAAGCAGCCTACGTGAGCATCTGCAGCTCCACACAGGAATGTCGCTTCCAGTTACCAACCCAGCAGGAATGAATATGCTAGGACAATTGGTAGAACCTGGGAAACCTACAAAAGATTCTGAGGAAATACCTGAAGCAGAAGTAATTAGTGATGGTGAACTACAGCAGAAAAATGATTCACCAATGGCAGATGGCCAACTGCAAGCTGAAACACCACCCCCATCAGACATTGCAGACATTGACAACATAGAGCTAGGGGATCAAGATAGGGAAGTGAAAAGGCGAAAATATGAATGCTCCATCTGCGGACGTAAATTCATCCAGAAAAGTCATTGGCGAGAGCATATGTATATTCACACAGGCAAACCGTACAAGTGTAGTACCTGTGATAAAACATTCTGTAGGGCCAACCAGGCTGCCAGGCATGTGTGCCTTAACCAGAATTCTGATACTTATATGATGGTGGATAATAAGCAAGCAATGCTTACTGAAGGTTCCTCTGAAGAAACAAGTCAGTCACTAATGGATCCAGTGTACCTAGCAACAAACCAATCAAACCAGTCCTACAAGTGCAATCTGTGTGATAAAAGCTTCTCGACTGCTAGTGAAGCTGTTCGGCATTCATGTCAAAACCAAAACTCTGATACCTTTGTTTTGATGGAAGGCCAACCAGCAGTTCAAGGAGAAGGCTCTTCAGAAGCTTGTGAAGTGACAGAAGTGAGCCAGTCATTGTCAGAAACAGTGCATAACGTGGAAGATGGTCAAGCTGTTTTAGTAGAATGAAAACTCTGTTCATTTACACACTTTTCAATGTGTTTCTTATGTACAATTTAAAACTGAGTTCTTAAATATGAGGATGTTAAAAGTTTATTTTCTAAATTAGATCTAAGCTTTCTTCTCTGGTAAAAGCATGTCATTCATTATCCAAGGATCTTGTTACTTTTAAAATGAAAATTCAGGTGGCATCATTGTATCAGTCAGTGTTTGCACTAGAATTCAGACTAGCCCCTGTCAATCATGAGCTGCTTCAGGACCAGGTTAGTATATAAAAAAAATCAATGTGCATTGTTCTTTACTTGTGCTGGCGTTGCCTAATGAGTACATCCTTTGCAAAGTAGGAAATTAAATCACGCTATTCCAAATGCATAGAAGTTATCACATATTTATATGCCTCACCAGGCTACTTTCTGCTTAGCGTCCCTGAACCAACTACAGTCTCAAAGAAATGAATAAACTCCTGTTGTGTTCTGTGGATGTGTACTCAAACTAAAAGTTTCCTGATTTGAATGAAACATTGGTGACTGACAGTTTCAAGGAGTCACAGTGCAGCAGTTGACATTTTGTAATTAAGTTTAAAAACTCCTGTTTTCTCAAAAGAGATGCGAGAGGTGTTGATAAATGTTGTTATGCTTCACTAATTATCAACTAATCACTGAGTATATCCCAACTGTTGGTAGTGTATTGCTGCAAATAATGAATCATAAACAATAAACAGACAGAACATGGCATTGCTGAACCAATAATGAATCCGGTGTATGGGTATACCCTGGGTGAAGTCGACATATGACTAATTTGTTGAATAACAATTCCGTCAATGTTATTGGCAAAGAAAGATGGATGAACCTGGGAGGGTGAAAGTATTGCAGTAACTCCTATGTCAACTAGAATGCCCTTCTAATGAGTGAATCATATATATGAAAAGTATTTCATAATTAGAACTTGCTTGATATGGTATTAAATGCAAATTGCTCACATTTGGAAATTTTGTTTCTTAGATATTCGAGACCTGTTTTCCAGTGTGATAGAACAAAGTAGTGCTCTGGTGCTCCACGTTCTTCCCTACTCACTTGTATAATCTTGTTTTTAAATGTTCAGTGTAAATCTGAATATAACTTTTACCTCACTTATTTGCAATTTGCTCCTTGACATGTCTGTGTAATTTGCTTTGAAGAGTAGGAATGGGGGGGTGACTATCAGAGTACGTCTATGCATGCTGACTTCAAAGTACAGTAGTAGTATTTGTAACTTTAACTTGTTTTACAGAAATAGTAATTGCATTATTTATTCTGTGTGGTATGTCTTTTATACATTTTAGAGTTTTTAATAAATACTGGAAAAAAAATTCAAAGTTGAAGAATAGGATCCCTTAATGAAAAACATGTATTCTTTTATCATTTCCAGATTAACTATATCGAAAATTTGTAATCTGTTTTAAAACAAAATTGCAGTAACATTGCTGTCTGATGGTGGAAAGGGAGGTCTCTGCTGCAAAAATAAACTGTCATATTTGGCTTCTTCAGAATATTTACCAAGTGTTCACATGTACCAAAAATGTCAGCACTTGTCCTGTATTATTCGTGTTGAAATTTACTTTTTCCCCACGTAGTTGCATTCGCAACATTGAACTGGACTGGAGCAAAGGTGACAATTTTTTAATGCCCTGTTACATTGATGATAAATGAATTTTAAGAAATATGCTTGCAATTTTTTTTACAGTTAGACAGTTTTAATTTGCTGATTAGCATATATACTAATACAATTCAGTACTGTTCTAGTTGGATTAGTTAGTACCAATAGTGTTGAGTGCTATTGTCGTAAACATGCACTAAAACCACTCTGAAGTACACGTGAATAAACATGAAACTCAAACAAAACGACCAATTTTAATGAAAGGGTACACCAGATTGGTACATTGGGAGCTGTTAATTATAAATGCTAGTGTTACAAGAAACATTGAACCCCAACATGTTTTGTTTTACTGTTTATTATTTGTAGTTTTATGTCTATGTAGTTATTTAACCACTTGTTGCTCAGTAAGTCCCGAGATATATAAAAGTATTACTTTCAGAATTCTAAAACACGTTCGTGAAATTTCGAGAAATAATGTATGTAAATTGCTCTGTTGTTACAAGTTTCATATAGACTTAGAATCAATATTTGAAATAAAGTTCAACTGCCTTAAAATACTTAAAAGCATAACCATGATACTCAGTGTCAAATCTATTATTTGCATTTTCAAATAAAGTGTAGTTTTTTTTTAAATCAGTATTTTGTAAAGTTTGTTTCAAAAAGAGAATATAATGTAGTTTAGTCTTGTAAAATGAGTCCCATGTGAGGAAAGTACATTCCTTTTGTTATAATGAACAATAAATAATACACTGTAATATTCTTGACCAAATCAAATTGAAGTTGACCAGTTTAATTGGAGAAATAAACGTTTCTTTTGGCCCCCTTTCAATCTTTTAAGATTTTCTAATTGTGTTTTTGAATATGTTGATCGCAGAGTCAAACTTTACTTGAATTTCAAATTGCAGGAGTTTGGAGCATTGTTTTCTGTGATGTCGTCTGCAGTTGCTCTCCTTACCAACATTGTCAGAATTTGAAATGCATTGTACAGTGTTGCCTTTTTTTTTGTGTAATTTTTAATTTGCTGCTTGAAAGCTAACCAGTTCACTGTATAGTTGGAAGCCTTATTTGACAAAACATACATGCAAATTCCTTATTCCTTGCTGTATACAGTAATAGACTACAGCTTAGTTGGAAAAGAGTTGTGTGTGTCTTGTTGACTAAGCCACAGCTCTAAATTTTAGCCTTACATTTTCAATGACTTGCCATTGTGTTTAGTCCTAAATACACAAACTGAATACACATCGCACCTGTATTTGTCTTTATTCCATGCCACAACTTTACTGTTAAAGTAAAAAATTTTGTTAGTCAATATCTGTATAATGTGTGATACAACGCTACCGATACCAAAGACTTGAATAAAACGAGCTTGGTAGGAACTGGAAATATTGTTGTAGTGTCTTGCTCAAATCTTTCTGCAGTACGTAGTCCATCTGTGGTAAGTACAGTTTCTTATCTAATTCTACCTTCCCCACAAGTGAATAATGGTTGGAATGGTATTTCAGGATCCTAAGATAATTGTACATGAGATTCATCATGATTCATTCATCTGGAGAAATGCTATCCCTGCCCCATTTAACTGGACATCACATTCAAGGTGCACTTTGAGAGCAATGTGAAGTTTCATTAATATTTTGTCTGCTTTATGCTCCTGTTGGCTTTGGGTGCTGCTGTGCAATGGCTACACACATTCAGCATTTTGTCCACTAAGATTGCAAGGTCTTTTCACCTCTGGCCCAATGTGCCAACCAATAAACAGAGCATGTTTCTCAGCTGTATAACTCTATGACCTTCACTCAATTATCATATATGAACATGTCTTTTTCACCTACCACTTAAATGAATAACTTGGCTAACTCATTCTGTAATTTTGAGCTGCCAGTTCTGCTCTCACTATCCTTCCTAATTTAATACCGAGTAATAATAGAAGTTAGAAAGGCAGTTGTAAGTTAGAAACAAATGATTTCAGTTCCTAATCTTGTGTTTCCCACTCTAACAACTATTCATTTCCTACCCCTCAACCAGTTTACTAATTTTTAGAGTTTTTCCTAACTCTGACAAAGGTTAGAAGGATCCTTTGTGGCAGAACAAAGGTGTGTGGACCCACTGGAGAAACCTTCATCCCAAGTACCAGCCACACTTCTTCTCCTGGCACTCTGCTGTGAACATTCTCATTGATAGAGTAGTCCATGTTTCCTTCCCACTAATAATTCTGATGTAACCAAATCTTCAGGCCTGTGTTTCCTTTATTCCATCTTGGGATATGGGCATCACTGGCTGACCAGCATTTATTGCCTGGCCGGTGATGGTGATGGTGAGCTGCTTTCTTACACCACTGCAATCCATGTTCTGTGAGTAGAATCGGAACTCCCCTAGCGAATTCTCGATTTTGATCCAGCAATAGTGAACGGATGGCGACATATTTCTAAGTCAGAGAATGGTGGGTGGCTTGGAGGGAAACTTGTAGGTAGCAGATGCATTGCAACACTGCCGCCCTCGTCCTTCTAGATGGAAGTGGTCATGTATTTGGAAGGTGCTGTCTAAGGACCCTTGTCAACTTTCTGTACTTATAGATCATAAACACTGCTGCAGTGAACATCGGTTGTGAAGGGAGTGGATGTCACATCAATCAAGCAGGCTGCTTTATCCTGGATGGCACCAAGCTTCTTGAGTTGTGTTGAAGTTGCATCCATCCAGGCAAGTGGGGAGTATTCCATTGCACTCCTGACTTGTACCTCGTTTTGGAGAGTCAGGTGCTGAGTTACCTAACTCAGTTAGTATTCCTAACCTCTGAGTTCCTCTTGTAGCTACTGTATTTATAGGGCAAATCCAGCTGAGTTTCTGGTCAGTAGTAGCCCCTTACATTGACAATGCGGTTTCAGTAATGGTAACATCATTGAATGTCAATGGGTAGTGGTTAATTGTCTATTATTGGAGATATTCATTGCTTTGCATTTGTAGCATAAATGTTACCTACTACTTGTCAGCTCAAATCTAGATATTGTCCAAATCTGTTGCATTTGAATATGGGCTCCTTCAGTACTTGAAGCATGAATGGTGCTGAACATTGTGCAGTCATTGGCGAACATCCCAACTTCTGACCTTTTTATGATGGATGGAAGATCATTGAAGCAGCTGAATATGCTTGGGCCTAGGACACTAGCCTGAGGAACTGATCTCCAACAACCACGGCCATCTTCCTATGAGCTAAGTATGACTCCAGCCAGTGGAGCATTTGCCCTGAGTCCTAGTGATTCCAGTCTGCTGGAGCTCCTTGATGTCAGGGGCTTTTACTCTCAACTCAACACTAGAATTAAGTGCTTTTGTCCATGTTTGAATCAAGGCTATAATGAGTTCAGGAGCCGAGTGGTCCTCGTGGAATGGAAACTGTCAATGAGCAGGTTATACTTGATGGCACTGTTGATGACCCCCTCCAGGACTTCACTGATGATCAAGAGTAGACTAATAGGGCGGCACTTGTCCAGGTTGAATTTGTCCTAACTTTCGTGTATAGGACATACCTAGGCAATTTTCCACACTGTTGGTAGATGCCATGTTTCAACTGTACTGGAACAGCTTAGCTCACGGAGAGGCAAGTTCAAGAGTACAAGTCGTCAAGTGCGTTAGCAGAATGTTGAGGACCCATAGCATTTGCAGTAGCCAGTGCCTGCAACCATTTCTTGCTATCACGTGCAGTGAATTGAATTAGCTAAAGTTCGTCATCTATGATGTTGGGGACCAATGGAGAAGGCCGAGATCGAACCATCCACTTGACACTTCTGACTGAAATTACTGAAGATCAAAAACGACTCGGCCCTTTCTTTTGTACTAATGTGTTGGTTTCTTCCGTCATTACGAGTGGGGATATTTGTGGAGCTGCTGCCTCCTCCACCGAGTTGTTCAATTTGCCCACCACCATTCGTGATGTGGCAGGATGGCAGAACTTACATCTGATCCATTGGTTGTGGGATTGTTTAGCTTCATCACTTGCTTCTTATGCTGTTTGGCATGCAAGTAGTCCTATTTTGTAGCTTTGCCAGGTTGACACTTCATTTTTAGGTATGCTCATACCATGCCCTCCTGCACTCTGTTGATTCAGGGGTGGTCCCCTGGCTTGATGGTAATGGCTGAGTATGGGATACGTCAGGCTGTGAGGTTGCAGATTATAGTGGAATAAAATTCTGCTGTTAGGGCATCCATGAGGCACTGTGAGCCATTATCTTGAGATGTTAGATTTGTTTTAAGTTGCTCCCATTTAAGTGATTGTGTGTTTGTGGCACTATGGTGGGTGTGAATGTGAAAGCAGGACTTCGTCTCCGCAAGGGCTGTGCAATGGTCACACTTAGCAATACTGTCATGGACAGATGCATCTGTTTCTGGTAGATTTAGTAAGGGTGGGGTCAAGTACATCTTCCCTCTTGTTAGTTCTCGCTCCACCCTACATTTTAGACCCTTGCCATGAACAATGCTTAGAGAAAGCACTGAACAACAGGAAGGAGTACTGATTCATTGTCCTTTCTCAGCTGCTGTTTATACACTTTTATAGCTTTCACCATAATGATCCCTTTTGTTTAATCACTTCTACCCCATCTATCAACACTTTTTTATATCAAGTGTACAGCCAGGGTGAAAAAATTTTTTTAAAACTTTTCTTAGTGGAGAATGTTAGAAACAAGGTTTATCCGTCTACCACAATGGCTCAGTCTTTAGGTTTAGTGACTAAATTATAGTCTTGAAGTGATACGTTTCTGTACTCACTGACCTATTAGTGCTTCTAAATGTTATATACTATGGGCACTCTATGGGTATTTTCATTGACCAAACAAATGAAGGGTTACACCTATAGCTAAATGTCCCTCCTAATTTCAGGATCTTGAAAGTAAACCTACAGCCAATAGCTCCAGTTGCCTTGAGCAGGAGTCTTCATTACAGAGTAAGGAACTCACGTGACCATGGTACCATATCAGGTTAAAGATGGCCATGTTGAAGTGTGACATTTAATGTCCCCATAATGCTGTGTTTTGAGGTGAGTAGTAGCTAATCAAGTGAAAGGAGGTTGCAGGAAAGCTGAACAATGTCCACTTAAGGGGTTTGTTCCCCTCAGTAGAGGGCAGCCAACATAGTTGAATGCAGGCTTTGGAATAGTGGTGGGTGGCTGTGTGGAGCATTAGAAGGTGGCAGTGCTGAAAGCCTTTCAACATTTTGACGCACCTTCAAAGGCATCAGTGCCTCAAAGAACCCAGCAATGCAATGGGGGCTTAGTAGCCAATTCAAACAGCAAAGCCTCACACTTAATTTGTGCTGAACTGGAATAGACATTGACTTGTGCATCTAATCATGGAGATGGGTCTGTGGTTCTCATCAGGAAAACCAAACCTCCACTACATTACTACACTGACTAAATTATCAACTGTGTTTAGGACACGAGGCAGAAAGATCAAAGAACATGGGGACAAACGTGAATGTGTAAACATCCATGCCACACAATCTCTTATTCAACAGAGGGCTGGATGCCATTCTAGCACAGGTGTGAGGAAAATATTTTAAGGTGGTTTTGACAGAGCAAAACTTGGATGGTTTGGTCCAGAGTTTGTGGACATGTCTCTTTCTGTGAAAGTAGCATTATCTGAAAGTAAGTACAGTAAAATCTGATTCCACAGTAACATTCAAAAAGAAATTGAATTCATTTGAAAAAACAAAACTTGAGAAAGCTAGAGGGAGTGGCCAAGAGGAGGACTATTAGAGGAGTAAGTAGTCTTTTCTAAAATTATAAAATTGATCAGAGCAGTGGACTAATTTTCTACCTCATGAATGTCATTTAACATTCAATCCCATAGCAGTGTCCCATCCCACAAAGGAAAACACATGGAAATTAATGCTAATATTACTTTATTTGTAGAAGTTGTGTTTTAATTATTCCAATATGGCTTAGATACACAGCAAATACAATTTATACAAATGTCAATTTCACATTCAGTTATAAAAGCACAGCAGTGTTAATGAGAGTAACATCAGTCTCTCGGTCATAGATCCTGCTCAAGTTAAATTCATGCAGTACACAAGTCTACAGTAGTTACCATTTCTAACTTCATTTACTGTAAATTACATTAACAAGACAGGAACTGTACAGTGAGTGTTACAGGCTAGGGTGTTGGTTTATTAATTGGATGGGTGGGGGAGGAAATATGCTGAACAGGGTAACCTGAATAAAATCAGCTTGAACATTGTTTAAATGCTGGAGTTTAGTAAGAAACATGTTGGGATGGAATGGTGAGGTGGGTCACAAATAGGCCAAAAACATCTAGACAGGAACATTAATGGCATTTGAACATTAATTGTATGCAATAGCAAGGCACATCTTGGAGATCATTATGGAAGTCCAAACAAACCTCAACTAGTAACCCAATTTAATGCACCTTCATTAACGAACACTTCAGTTTCATCAAGCTGGCCCCAGTCACCCAACCGGCTAAAGGCATTAACCAAACGATGGTCACGTTTCATCCTCTGGAACACTTGCAACAGTCCAGGATCTAGGCTTTGGTGAATTTTGCATGGTTCAACCTTGCACAATGCACTGAAGTTACCTTTACTCCATAAGGTTGACTTCAAATCTTTAGTTAGTCCTCAGAATGGAGATCAGCTTTGCCAGAACTTTGAGTCCACTTCGATATTCTAAATGACCTGGGTGAGGTCAATTTCAATCTACTTGCAAGGTAAAAACAGGCAAAACAAATCATGAAATACCATCAAGTGTAGCTTGTTGTAGCTGCCATTTCTATAGACCTGTTTCACTCAAAGCTGTCACCACTGCAATCCTTTATCAAACATTAAGAACCAGCTCCTGGACAACTAAAGTTAATTCGGTTATCCCAATCCAAATCTTTTGAAAAAAAGTGATAGCCTTAATGAACAAGACATTATATTTAAGATATTAGAATTAAATTTCACATTAAAATAGAAGCAATCTGATGATACAAAGAAACATCTCTAGATTTTTGAGCAAATACCCCTTCCTTCAAATATTCAGACACCATTGTGTTACACATTATTTGAAGAAAGCAGGCAAGGGCGTTGCCTCAAAATAAGCATTATGTTTATCATCAGGACATCAGGCTAAAAGCAAGATATATTTAAATAACTGTGTAGATATAGCTTGCAAATTGATTTGGGATTGTCAATCAACAGGGGTACTTGGTCTCATCACAGTAGCGTTGTGCGATATTCCTATAGCCTCTTTGCCTTCACATTCTGTATTTCACGAGTGTTTGGAGCTCTGCAAGTGCACACAAAAATAAAATTACGTTAAACAATGAATGGGGGTATAGGTTAGTTGAGTTGGCTCAATGGCTAGTGTGTACTGCAGAATTACATCAACAATGCAGGTTAAATCCCAATCAAACCTGGTTCCTCACCTTGTGCCACATTTAACATGGAGCAATGCTCAATGTAAAACCAATTGTCTCTCAAGAGAAATACTTGTGGTCCTGTGTGGGTGAACTATGGCTAATTGCTTATAAGGAAGTATAAATTGTTGCTGCTCACCTTTTATCAATTTAAATTCTGAGTCACAAATATCTGATAAAGCTTCTTAAAAAAAATTACGAAACCAAAATAAAGGCATCCTGAGATTTGGAAACAGTATGATTTCAAAATCTGAAGTTGGAAAGATGCACCATAGTATCAGTATGAATTGTTCAGGGAGGGGAAATCTCTTGGTAGCCGAGACAACTTAATATAGCAGGAGTAGCTGAATGACACCTCACTCCCCACAGTGTGGTCGAGAGTCCCATGTCCTGCTGATAGTACCTAAACAGTCTCAGGATTACAAGTCATGACCAGTGGCAGATCTGGAAGATCATGGCACTACAAGCTCAACAGTTGGCTGGTGAGAGGTAAGAGATCCTCCAAGTAGAGTGATCTCTTCAAACAGACAAGGATGGCAACAAGAAACACCTCATTAAACCTCTTTCCCTCGTCAAATATGGTCAATATAAACAATTCTCAAATCAGCATGAATGGGGATATCCATGAACTACCAATTCTTTATCTTGCAACTGTTTCTTAAAAGGCTCCAAAAACAAAGAAAAACTAATGCCAGAAGAACTGCTACTTGGAGCATTAGAACATCAAGCCTGGAGCAGAAAACAGAATTTAAGGAATGAATTGCTTAGGTTTTGAAGATGGACTGGAAGAGAGAAGGATTAGCACAATGAAGTCCTTATCTATTCAACTGGAGAGAAACATGAAAAAAAACATCAGTGGCTTTTCGTCACAAATATTGCAAACCTGTTAAGGATACTGAGCTATTTTTGGGAGAATTCTCTTTGTCAAAATAGCAGCTGCATCTTGAGAATTGAGAATTATTGAATTAAGCATATAATTGCATAATTCAAAGTGCAGCTGCTGAGGATCCCGAAGCCATCATGAGTTAGGTCAAGCTAGACAACACTGCAGTTTGCGATATCAGCACGGTCATGGGATTTCTTGGGGAAAGGTAACATGCAAGTTCTTATATGCAAGGTAATGTTGGCACCGGAGCAGACAAGTTATGACAGAAACTACAGTTTAAATATCACCCCAGGCAAAGTTGTTTTGTGGAATTTCTGGACAGCCAAATGAATTAGATCACCTAACACAATAAAAACACTTCAGAAATTCCACTGACCAGTCAAAATAATACACAGATGTCGACTGTGACAGCACTGTCATGTCAGTGGTTACCACAATTTATGTCAGAGTAAAACAAAATGAAAGCTGGTTCTCAGATGATGGGAAGACTTTGTTATTAAAAAAGGAGCAGAGTGGATGTAAGTAATCACTTTTCAATGCTGCTGGCAGAGGAATCAATTAAGTTATTAAAACCTCCTTGAACACAGAACAGCAAGTTTCATGGAAAGTACAAAAAAAGTGAAGGTTTCTACAAAATGAAGTGTTCAAGCAAACATGGAGTTAAGAAAATTTCAGAACCCAACAGAAAGCAAAGAAAAAAAAAATGTACGCAGAATGGAAGCTGGCAGAATGACAAATGCATTTCAATGTGACAATGAAAAACTTGGAAGCCTAAAGCAATTCACCAACTTAAATTTTAGGAAAGGCTACAATTTGTAGCTCAAGTGGATGTTTGAGAACCGGATCGTTTGATTCTCACGGAAAAGGTCAAAAATCAGGGAAAGATTGAGTAAACAAAGAGAAAAAAAAAAAAAAAAAAAAAAAAAAATCGCATAACAATGTTTGAGGACTTCGAACAAAAATAAAGGCAGACCAGAGATTGAGAAGGGAAAAGGGGATCTTGGCCTGATAACCGTCAGGACTGGATGAAATAACAAAAGATGAATGAAGCAACAGAACAGCTGAAGAACCATCAAGAAACAACACTAGCTTTATCCCTGAAGATCTGAGTGTTTTTGTCATTCTACCAACAAAACTAATGCAATAGAAGGCAAAATATATTGAGTATTCAACCTAGGTGAGCAAGCAGCAAAAAAGGTCAAGCACAGAACCTTAAGGAGTTGCAATTAGAGAGGAAATCAAATCAGATTTCAGGCACGCTTCATGGCTTTGTAGCGGATAAATGAACATTAAATGTAACCTTTTCTTTTAAAAAGTCGTAGAGCAACTGAAGTGCAAAACCACCTCTACTTACCTTGTAGTTAAATGGAAGCATTTGATAAAAGAAAGATAAAGAGCAAGGACATTCCAGAATGTAACATAATAAAATTATGTTCTAACTTCCATTTACTAAATATTTCCAGGAAGCACAGTAACATCCTATTGTCTAAAACAAACCTCAAGAAACATCAGCTTGAAACAAGAATTTGTGTACTAATGTGTGTTTGGTTAGCAATGAACTATCAATGTAAAGTTTGGAACATTGGCAAAAGAGGAAGAAAGTCAACAACTCTGAAAAGTGATGTTGAAAAAGGCTCATGGTAAACCAGGTGGAAAAAAGAACTAATGAAGAATTACTGAATAGGACCCAAGAAAACTTTAAAACAATATCAAAAAGACAACATGTTTTGGACATGCACTAGGGTCAGAGTGCCTAATCATTCAAAGGATTTAGCAGAACAAGAGGTTGACAGTGGAGGAAGACCCAGATTAACTATTAAGGACTCAGTTAAAATAGAAATCAAATGAGGTTTATCCACTTACTACAGGTCAAAAAGTTTGCAAGTTAATGGCCACCTACACCATTTGGCATGGAACTTGAACAATGAGACTTCCAGGGAGCATTTTTGCCAGTTTGATTCTCAATCAGCAACACAACTCTGAGGCAGAGGTCAAGGGTTCAATCACTGCCAGAGATTCTGTTTCTAACACTAATTGCTGACTAACTCAATCCGTGGCACCCGGAAGATCAGCTGTAATCACTGATCCATAAGGAGTCAGTGCTGTTTATAACAGCATAATATTCAGCCTCTGTCCCTGGATTAAAGGAGTTAAATAGTTGAGGTTTATATGCATTTTCACATATGCAGTCGTGAATATGTACTTATGGGACCCAAGCAAATGAGGGGGTACCTCTAATGGTTTTGGAGATTGGGCACAGGTGGGTGGGGGAGGTGGAAACAGTATATCATACGTGGTCTGGTTTACATTATTAATACAATACGTAAACATTTCACTCACTGATATTTTCGCACATTCGCCCATGGGAGCACAGGCTGAGATGTGTTCCTACTTCCATTTACCAAAATAACCAGGAAGCACAGTAAGAGATTCCTACTTACACTTTTGTTTTACAAATACAATTACAACTGCATTTGGTCCCACCTGTGAACAGCTGCTAAGAGCAAGCCAAAATATTGAAACTCTGAAAGCTGTCTCACTGGGGATCCTACAGTCATTGTAGTGACTTACTGCAGTCATAGCAAAGATTGCTACTGGGTTCCAAACTCTCAGCTACAAAAAAGGTCCATGTTTTTCACATTTATCAATAATCAAAATTTCAGTGGCCCAGCAGAACAGTTGCTATGCTCAACAGAAAAGGAGATCTTGTAAGTGTACTGTGCGATGAAAGGCCTTTTCCATTGTTCCACAGAAAACGTGGAGTTTGAAACAAACATTAGAGCATCAGTTTTAATGGCATTTCCACATTCTCTTGTCTAAGCATCATTGCTCAAACATCACTGCTAAAAATCAAACAAACAATCACTATCAGCAGGTACGACAACATGCAGTCTGAATAACTTTCAAACCACTAAACTCTCTCATGCTCAGAATTCACCATATTAAAGGTTAGAGACAAGAATGAAGTGTCAAAATAGTAGAGTGGCAACAGTCTCCACAAAAATGGAGGCTTCAAGTCCCATTCTACCAATCAGAGGACATAATCCAGGCTCAAATTCCAGTGCACCATTGAGGAAAGGGTATGTTTCAGCTTTAAAAGAAAATAGCGCATTTGTTCTCTTAGATGAATGCGTATGATCTATAAATGTACTAACTGATTCTTGATCACTGGAGGGAAAATCAAGGGTTTGGGCAAAGGGCAGGGGAGCAGACGTGAGGAGTGTTGGATCAGCCTTTTGAATGGCACAGCAGGTGAGGGGCCAAACAGCCTGCCCCATTCCTATTTTTTTTTTTTTTTTTAATGATCTGATGGTAACTGGTTACCAAATGTGTTTTGGAACATCCTAGGAATGGGAAAGAGGAAAAAAAATTTATGCAAGTTTTTTTCAATTTTAAATCACTTTGTCCTGATTAGTCTGTTTCAAATTCTGTTATGTCGAGATGATGAATTTTTAGTTGGACAGGAAACTTGAAATTGAGCTTAAATTGATTTCATTCTAATATTTTCAAATTACAACAGAACATGGTGGGCAAAAGGAGAGAAATTCATTTGCAGCAAAAAAAAAAAAATGGACCTGACGTAAGAGGTACCTTTTTAAAAATCAATACCTGCTTCAGGATGTTGTTTGCTCTGTTGCAGCCTTTACACTTTCTAAAGTAGAGGACTGATCCATTTGGTGTCCAATTTGCATTTCTTGACTCTCTTGCTTTTCAACTGCTTCAATCGTCTGTTTTTTATCAGATTCTTTATCATTTTTGTGATCAATGGATTCCATCACATCACTCTCCAACTTCTCATCTGCAACTTTTGGTGTTTGTTTCTCTTCAGCAGTGAGCATCAATTGATCTTGGACATCTTGTATTGATGTTTGTTTTTCATCCTGTTGACTGGCTTTCACAGATTGGCCTTTTTCCTCAGTCAGTTCTAGAGATGGTGGTCTTCCTTCAGGGCTTTTTAATGATTGGCAACATTCTACTTCAGTCACTTTTGATCCATCAGGCAATATTACAGACTCGTTAGTTTCTCTCTCCATTTCCACTGATGCCATATCTTCAGTCTCAAGTGGTTTCTGGTCACCTTCAATAGTTTCCTCAGATACCATCTCGGTTGAATGAATTACCACTACTTCATGCTCTAAAGCTTCAGTGCCCTTGCTGTCTTGGGTTTGCGCACTCTGATCAACAATTTCATCATCCTTTCCTTCTGTTGAGATCATTTGTACTTCTGGCATCTTTTCTTCTGCATCTTTATACATCTTTTCACTGTCTTTATCCTGTTCAGAAGAAACAGGATCTACTTGTTCCTCTGTTCTTTCAGTTGACTTTATGACACCCTTCATTGGATCCTCAGCTATCATGGTACTTGACTGTTCCATTGTCCTTGTTTGACTGACTTCTACATCAGTCTCCATTTCGAAGAACACCAATTTCTGTTCTGCTCCTTCAGTTCTGTGATTAACCAGGCCAGCTACTAGCTGCTCAGTGCTGGAGCTCTGTTGCTTTTGCCCATCAACAGTTGAGTCTACTTCACTTTCCACAGCAGAGTCTGCCAAGGTGCCAGCCGCTGCATCTATCGCTACCTCCACAATGGCAGCCGCAGTTTCTACTACAGGTCCGTGTACAATAACGTCAGGTTCAGCTGCCGGGATAAGCTGATCTACAGCTCTCAGCTCTGGAAGCTGCGTCACCACTGATCCTACAGTCTCTGCAATGACCTGCTCTTCTACAGCAGCTGCGGTCACAGGGAAAGCCACTTCACGGGACTCTGAACTCTCAGCTACAGAAGGCTCCGTTGTTAAGGTCACAGTCTCGCTTTGCACAGTTTGAAATTCATCAATAGAACCAGAGTGTAATTTTACCTCACTTCCCAAAGTTACACCTTCAGATTCAGGAACTACTTCCAGTTTAGGCTCTTCTGTGCATCCTTCAGCTGAAGCTTCTGAGGAGGGCAACTCTCCAGGAGACTCCAACTTGCTTAGGTGTTTTTCAGTTGCTCCATTAGCCAACTCCACACCATCCCCTTTTTGTGCCTCATCAGCCTTTTCAGAGGCTTCACATTGTTTGGGTACAACTACATCTTCTCCATCCAATTGGACATCTTGGACTAGTTCACCATCTGTGTGCGCAGACTCGAATTCAACTTCTGGTGTTGGTTGGTCTTTTTCCACAGCAGACAGCTCATCTCCCACCTTCTGCACAAGTTCAACCGTTGGAGACTCTTGTTGGAGACTTATGTTCTCATTTGTATCTACGGCCTCTCCAGTTGCTATGCTCGGAGGCTTGCCAGTAACACAACTTACTTGTGTTTCATGTTCTTTGGCTTCTGACTCAACCACCTCAGTTGCTGCAAGCTCCATGGTATCAGTTTTTCCAATTGGTCTGTCCGGCAAAACTTCAAATTTCTCTTTGGATAGCATGGCCACGGTGGGGTCTGGCTCCGGCTCCTCTTTAGTTAGATATTGGTCCACTTCCCTTCCTACCTGTGTTAATTCAATTACACCAGTTTCGCTTTGAAGCTCAACATGGGTTTCCTTGACAGCACCCTCAAGATGTGCAACTTCAAATTTACCACCTACTTCTGTTTCCATGTTCTTCACAACCTCAATTACTGTTCTCTCAGTTACGGAGGTCTGAATCGTTTCTTTGGATAGTTCTGCAATATTTGACTCTTGCTGTAGAACTTCCTTTGGTGAAGTCAGCATTTCAACTATTTGTTCCTTTGTTCCCTGCTCCCTAACTCTTGAAACAATGGACATCATCTCTTTACACACAGCCCCACTCATTTCAGTTCCCACATCCTCCGCAATAGATACCACAGGGTCATGAGCATCAACCACCTTCTGCACAGTCTTGATTTGCTCCTGTACTATTTTATCATTTGTTACCATCGTATGTACAATCTCTTCCTGTTTTGTAATCGCCCCTTCACCACGTACTGTCTCCGTCACCACGGCAACCGGAGTGGCACCGTCCGCCTCTTCACCGCGTCCCGTCTCCGTCACAGTGGCAACCGGAGTGGCACCGTCCGTCTCTTCACCGCGTACCGTCTCCGTCACCAAGGCAACTGGACTGGCATCAGTCTGTTCAGTACACACCGCCGCTGTCATTTCTGGACTGATTTTGTCAGTAGTCTGTTCACCAGGTAGAACCTCTGTCATTTCTACTACAGGAGTGGTCTGCTTAGTCTCTTCACAAAGTCCAGCCTCAGTCACTTCCACATCGGAGGCATCTTTAACAGTTTCTTCACTTGGTACAACGTGCATCACTGTTACTACCGGAGTGACTTCAATGGTCTCCTCACTGAGGCCAACCTGAGAAACTCTCACATCTGGGCCCATTTGCACCGTCTCCTTGCTGCACAACTCGGTCACCGTTACCACTGGAGTAACTCCAATGCTTTCTTCACAAACTCCAGCCGCAGCTGCATTCATTTCCACATTTACTGGAATGATTTTCGTGCTCTGTTCAGAAACCAGCTCAGCCTCCTTCGTACTGGCTAGAGTCTCTCTGCATTCAATCACACGCTCTTCTGTTCCCACCTCCTCAACAATCTCATGAGAGTTTCCAATAGTCTCTTCAGAAACAGCCTCAACATTTCCCACAGCCATCTGATGAGCAACTTCTGCAATTGCTGTTTGCTCCAATATGGCCTTCTCAGCAGATTCTGTTGGAATTCCATCAGTGACGTCTCCACATTCAGCAAGTTGCTCGACTTCTAGCTTCCCAGGAACTTCTGCAGTAACAGCTTTGATAGGTTCTTCATCTTCTGTCAGAACCTTTTCCCTACAGCTTGTCTGAGCAGCTTTGGGTTTTTCAAGTGGAGCTTGTGTCTTTAGAACATCCTCTGCTTGACTGACTTTCAAGGTCTCTTCAAGTCCAGTCTCCGTTTGGTCCATTACCACCTTCACCCCGGGTTCAGATATTCCCGTTTCAGCCTCGCAGACAGTTTCCACATGAGTTTGGTGCACCAAACTCAAGGGTTCTCCAAACTTTTCTGGTGGAGGAATCGTTTCAGACTCAATGCTTTGAGCAGCAGAAACCTCTATCGTTTCACATTTTGTTTGCTCGAGCCTCTCAAGCTGCGGAATTTCGTTATCTGCCACCTGGATAGTGCCTTCAGAGGCAGAGGGAGCGTCAGATTTTCCAGTTTCTCCTTTCCCAGCAGGCTCCGACATCTCAGTTTCACTCAAGGTCTCGACCGCCTCCTCTTGTACTTTTTCCGTGGAATCTCGTTCGCTGCCTGGAATCTCTGGGGCAGCCGCAGCTTTGCGGGGGGGAGCAAGTGGCCTGGCTGACAGCTTCACCCTTTCAGCTGCCTCCTGCAGCACCTCGTGGGTTTGCCTGGTTACCGTGACCTCATCGTCTGGCACAGGGGTGCTTTCTGCCGTCGTCACCGGGGTCTCCGTCAACTGCGAGACGGCTGACACCATCTCAGCAGTCTCCTCGGTGAGGGACTCCTCAGCCGGGTACTCCAGTGCCACGGCAACCTCGGAGCTCACCGGGGCCTCTTTGGCAATCTCATTGGGACAGATTGTTCTGGCCTGTTCTGCCAACGAAGCAGCATCGCCGTGCTCCGCTTGTCCCCTCGCTTCCACGATTTCTTCAACTATTTTTCCTTCGTCTTCAACCCTCTTCTCAATGATGTCTGAGACTGCAGTTGATATCCACGACGGCGATCTCTCATCAATGCTGCTTTTGATGCTCTCTAAAGCTCCCCGGTCCATGGTAACGGCTTGTCCGGCACTCAGTTCCCCACCTTCAGCTGGAGCTCCCGACTTGGTTAGAACATCGTCCTTGTGGACAGCATTCATGCCTACTGTCAGCTGCTGCTCCTTAGCTGCTCTCTCCTCTTCGACAGCATCGTATTCAGAAAGGGGAACTACTGCTGGTGTATCAGACTCTTCATCACCCTTGCTCACTCCCATCTCTGCCTGTTTGGTCTCTTTTCCGACGTCCTCTGCCGGAGGCTGGTCAGCCTTGGCATCGGACCTCTTCTTCCTTCGGCCTGGAATCAGCTTTTTCAGAGAAGCCCATGACTCCTCCTTGGCCTGTTGCTCGGTCTCGGGGACAGCAACTTCGGCAGCGGCGACAACGGTGACAGATTCGTCTGCACGGTCTTCGAGCTTGGATTTGGACTTGCGCCTTGAGGTGACCAACCTCTTAAAGGACTCCCATGTGGAGACAGCGCCGTCAGACACGTCCCCCTCCACCGGGCTGCTCACAGCACCTTCCGGAGATGTCCTGCCTTGGTCCTGATCCGTATCCTGCGGAACGCTGGCTCTCAGTTCCTCAGCACCATCCAGCACTTGGGCGACCCCCTCAGGTGACCTTTGGAGCTCCTCGTCCAGCTGTGGGGCCTCCGAGTCGGACAACTTCCTCGCTCTCTTTTTGGAGGAACCGACACAGATCAGCGCCTCCCAGGATACGGGGGCGTCTGCTTTCTTTTTGGGATCCTCAGTGCTGCGCTCCAAACTCAGGTCCTCAGCGTTTAGTTTCGCTTCTTCTTGAAGCTCAGCCGGGACAGCGCTGGCACTCTCGTTGGAAGAGGCAGCCACCCCCTTCACTTTTTCGGTCTGCTCGTCCTCTCGGTCGTTCTCGGACAGTACTTTGGGGCGCTTCTTTGACGTCACTAACTTTTTAAATGAAGCCCACGCAGTGATGCTCTCTTTCTTCCTCTCCCCGTCGGCAGCTTCGTTCATTCCCTCCACCTCAAGATTGGTGGCTTCCGCAGTCTCCGCAGGGACTGTCCCATCCACGTCTTCAGGGGAAGTTAAAGGAGGAGTGTCTGCCTTCTGGCCGTCAGGACTGCCCTCCGATTCAGTGGAGGACTGAAGTCGTGCCTCCTCGTCGTCATCTCCCGGTTTGGACTCCCCCTTAGCGGCTTTTGGTTTCTTCCCAGACAGCTTTTTGATGCTGCTGCTGGTGAAGAGTTTCTTCAGGGGGCTGCCCTGCAGCTTGGCCTTTTCTTGGGAAGACAGGAGCTCCGCCTCACCCACTATAGGCTCCGGGGCCTTGACCTGTGTTCGATCCGGGCCTACGTCAGTCTGTCCTGCTTGAAGCTCTGCTGAGACTTCGACAGGGGCAAATTCTGGCTTCACCGGTCTCTCAGCTGATGGGCTCTGCACTGTTAGCTGGGCCGCCTGACCCATCTCCAAGGCTGGGGCGGCCATCTTCATTTCGGGGCAAGGCTGCCTGTCGTCTACCGCGGACACGCTGCCTTCCCCCATCAGCCTTTCTTCTGCCTCCCTGACTTTGGCTAGTTCCACAGAGAGGTCCTCGAAGTCATCGTCTCTCTCCCTTTCTTCCACCAGGTGGGCACCCAAGATTTCAGCGTCTTTTGGCAACGCAGAAGGCTCCTTTGAAGGTCCACGATCACCTTCCTCACCATTAACGTTTCCAGCGGCAACAACTTGCTCCCCGTTCACTTCGGGCTTCTCCCCAACAACCAGGGGCTCATCTTTAGCCTTCTTGAAGCTTGGTTTCCTTCGCAACACAGAGAAAAAGCCTTGTCTAAAAAATCTCTTCAGCGGAGAGTCCATAGCAGGACTCTCGACTGGACTGACGACAGATTCCACTGGCTCCTCAGCAACAGTGGGTTTTGGCTCCACTTGGTCGGTGGACTCTTCCGTTTCTCCAGGGGTGAGAACTTCAGGTGGACTTCCCTCCGCTTCATGAGCAGCTGGACTTAGGTCGCCATTTTTCAATCCTCCCATTTCTTGCTTGGATTCACCGTCTGCCTCACCATCTTCATCCTTTTTCACGGTCAGCAACTGCACAGGTTCCAGCTTCACCGGGTTCTCTTTCTTCACTGTGAACTTGCAGCCCACAAATTTGAAGACCTTCTTGAAGCCAATCTCACCAGCCTGTGCCTCCTCTCCAATTTCGACAGGAGGACTGGCATCTTCCTGGGAATCTCTTGGCTCCTCATCCTTGGTTTTGGCGGGAAGAGTTTCCTTCTGTTCAAGATCCATTTCCACTGGTTCCTCCTCTTGCGTTATGCTTGGTGGTTCAACTGCAAATAGAAAGATTAAAAAAAAAGGTGAGTCTCTTGACACTGAATCAGACTCAAAATTTAACAAAGGAAGAAACAAGGAGCCAACACTTTCTCAAACCAAACCATCCTATTAAGATTTAAGCTGCAATTATCAGCCTTGAATCTGAACTGCCTCCAAATTCTTGTTTAACGTAGAACAAGACATTTCACTCTGATTAAAAAATTGTTTAAATATTTTACTGCTTCCAGCTAAATTTGAGATTCAATCTCACCAATTTTTTGCTGGCTGAGAGCCAGCTTTTCCAGATTTCATTACCCCAAGCAAGTAGAGCTCTACGAAGATGGAAACCGAAAGAACTGCGGTTGCTATAAATCAACAGCAAAAACAGAAGTTGCTGGAAAAGCTCAGCAGGTCTGACAGCATCTATGAAGGAAAAAAAAAAATCAGAGTTAACGTTTCAGGTCAGTGACCCTTCCTCAGAATACCGGACCCAAAATGTTAACTCTACTAAAATGGACTTCGTTCTCTTCCAATCCCAATTGCAACAGTATCCATCAAGATTCACACTCATATACCCAAGGTAGTACGAGTAAGCCATTTTGAACCCTGTAGCCTGCAACCTCAAAAATCACATTCCCACCTATCCCTGATGACCTTTCACCCCGAGCTTACCAACAATTTATCCACCTCTGTCTTAAAAACATCAAAAAATGTTGTTTCCACCATCGTCTGCGAGAGAGAGAGAGAGGAGAGAGAGACGGGAACATTTTGCCTTGGGACCACAGCAATGAGGTGGATTCTCAACAGGCCTTCGCAATAGCTGAACAAGCCAGCAGTTGTTGACACAGCGACAAAGTCAGATTAGCTGGTATCGATCTATGCACTGAAAATGGCAAATGCAGTTCTGTCAAGTCGGGGAATTTCAGAGGGCTACTGCCAAAAATGGGAGAGCTTTCTCATAGACTAGTCCAGCAACAGCATGACAGTCATACTAGAAATCATTCCTGACAGACAAACATCCCAGACACCACTATCACCATCCCTGGCAGGACAGGCCCAGCAGTGAGGCAACAATGGAGAGAGTGGCCCTGCGAGTCTTCAATATAGACCCCAGATGCCTTAAGACATGGCATCAGGTCACACATGGGCACAGAAACCTCATGCTGATTACCATATACCACTGCCAATCCCTTGCTTCCAACCCCTCCAGAACTTCCCCAGCAGCTGATGAACCAATACTCGGTGGAAGCACCAAGGGTTGCTAGGCTGCAGAATGTACTCTGGGTGGGGGATTTCAACATCTACCACCAAGAGTGGCTCAGAAGCAGCACCACTGATTGAGCTGGTTGGTCATAAAGGATATAGCTCCTAGACTGGATCTGAGACCGGTGGTGAGGGAGGCAAAAACATACTTGACCCCACCTTCAATACGCCAGCAACAGATGTATCTGTTCACAACAAAATCAGTAAGAGCAACCACCGCACGGTCCTTCTGCAGACAAAGTCCCGCCTTCACATTCTATCACGTTGTGTGGCACCGGCACTGTGCTAAACAGGATGAACTTCAAACAGATCTAGTAACTCAAGACGAGGAACCAGTGTTACACTATGAGCCATTTTCCACTGAATCATACCCCAAACACAATCTGCAATCTCAGCCCAGCATACTCCCCATTTAACCATTACCCCCAAGCCAAAAGATCAACACTGCTTCAATGGAAAATGCAGAAGGGTGTGCCAGAAGCAGGCATACCTAAAAAGGAACTCTCAACCTGGAAGCTCCATCTAATTGCTGGTCACCCCAGCACCGTCATATTCCCAAATTGGGTTCCACCATTCATTTACAGAGTCCCGGTGCTCCTATACTCCAAACAGTAGTCCCCTCTATCAATACCTTGTGACCCAGTGCAGCAATTTTACATTGCCTACCCTCCTCTTCAAGACTTTCCTTAGACCCTTGCCCAGCAAGATCCCATAAACCTCACCACCCTGCTTGGCTAATGCTGGTCTCCCCTCCAGGCACCAGCCACAGGAAAGTGATCCTTTAGTTACTTAGAATACCCTAGCATCTTCTACCTTGCTGCACAAACTCTGGCCTCAGAGTCTCCTTTAGTTGTGCTACATTAAAGCTGCTGACACGAATTATGGAAGGATACAAAAGTGATGTCAATTGTATCTCCTGGATTAGTCTCACTCCCCTTCACATTCCCTACAACTCAGCAACTCTTTATCCAATTGTCTTTGCAAAGTTGCTACTGAATTTGCTTCCACTATCCCTAAATCTGTCCTCTGATCACCGACTCTTCCATCACACTCAACTTACGCTATCCATATTATTCATGATTTTGAGCTCCTCTGTCAAAATCTCATCCCACCTTCCCTTGCTCCAAAGGAAAAAGCCCAACCTCTGAATGGCTGAAGTCTCTCAGCCTTGGTCCCATTCTCTCCTCTTTCTTCTCTACACCTCTCCAGAGCCTCAAAGACCTTCCTGAGGCCGTGTCCACAGCACTCAGTCTGAGGCCTAAATCTTTTTAAGTGTTTACCATAACTTCCTTGCTTTAGTCCTCAACCTAAACCTTCTAAAACCAGGATCCTATTTGCTCTGACAGCCAGTGTCAAAGACTTGCGTAGACTCCTATACGTCTTGCGGTTCATGCAACTCTTGGAAAGGTACACCTGAATTCATACCATCTCTCTTCAATCTTCCAAATGAATCCCATCTGTCACAGGTTTGCCCATTTTACCAGTCAATGCACCGAAATCCATTGTTATTGACTCCCCCACTTAACTACATTGGAGTTGGGCCAACTACAAACCTTGAAATTATATCCCTGCACACAAGTCCAGATCATTACACATATCAAAAATAACTGAGTTCAATCTCCACCCATAGGAACATGGTACACCTCTCTCCAATCTGAAAACCATTCACCGCTGTGCCTCAGCTTTCTATCCTTTCCCCAGTTATGCAATATCAGCTTAATCATATAAGTTTTAATTCTGCGGAAAAAAGTTTGTTGTGGTATTTCAAATGCCTTTTGAAAAGCCATTCGCAATTTCAACCATTTCAGTTACAGCAATGACTATAACAGTAATGTACATAGCTTTTTTTGATAACAAATCCCAATAGTATTGATTATTTACAGACAAAAGATCAATCTAATATTGACAGCAGCACATCCACATCCAATCTTGCATTTAGATAGCACCTTTAAACACCAAGGTCTCTGAAGGTAAATTTATAACCGGTTGTAAACAGACAATAAGTTAATGTTAAGCTGAAAAAGACAAATAGGAAGATGATTTTAAAAAGGTTGAAAAAAAGAAAGATTTCAAAACTAAGGACCTAGATGGCTTAAGGTATGGCTGCCAGTGGCAATGTAAAGGGAGTGGGGTGTGTGCAGAGTTTTAGACGGTGTAGGGCTGGAGAAATTGAGTGATAATGGAAGGGAGAACCTATGAAAGGATTTCAACACATGCAAGGCATGGATGTATTTTAGCTTGTACACAACTTCAGTAGCTGTGGCAATACCCAGCAACATTTACAAGACTATTAGTTCTGAAGAGTCAAACTAGACCCAAATATTTACCGTTTCTCTTTCCACAGACAGTGTCAAAACAGTTTCTCTAGCATTTTATTTCAGGTTTCCAACGTCCACATTTATTAAAAAATGTTGGAATGAGCACAGCATGTTGTGGTGTGCGAGGTTATTTTGTCCTGGTTTTTTTGAGGAGACATTTTAAAGGGACAGGTGCCAAGCAGTCTATAAGATGAACAACTTATGAAACTTTGGGTGTGTTTTTGTTTAAAAAGGTTGGAATAATAGAAGCAGCTTGAATGGTGGCGGTCAAGCTCCCAACCACAGAACCTGGATTTTGAGTTTACGTTTTCAATAGCAGTTGCTTTTGGAGGGTTTTGAAGAAGTGGAAGCTATTCTTTTCCTCTCAGTTACAGCCAAAAGCTGGGAGTTCTCTGCCTGCTAATGGTGCTGCACATGAAACAATCTGTTTTCTGAATTTGCCTTTTTGCCAAGGGTGTGTTTATGGGATGTTACTATGTTGGAACAGTTAATTAGTAGTAGTTACTATATCTATTATTCTGTTTTACAATAAAATTATTCCAACTCCTCCTTTCTTTTGTTGCATTTTAACTAGTGGATGAATAACAGTTTTTGCTTTAAGTCCAGCAGTTTGACTGATCAAATTGCATCTGGAATGCAACACATCATATTTACCTATAAAATAAGAAAACGTTAGGGTCTAAACCATCTTCTGAACAGTTTGAGGAGGTTTGGTCTGGTCCATAATGTCAGAGTATTCCATTTTCAATAGAAGCACCAGGCTAGACAGGAGAGAGTCTCCTGTTGCCTGGTGCTCACTTTAAAGCGATTGGATTTCTTGTTAACAATAAATTGGACAAATCAAATGGGCCTAACGACAGCTCAGTGGGAGACATTAAACAATTTGAGTAAGTAAGAACCAGTTTACACTAAGGGACAAGGAAGTCCTGTTTGCCAAAAATACTCCAGAAAGAGAATATGAACACTAACTTAAGGAATATCAAAAACAACAAAAAGGAATATACCATTGCATTGCCAAAAAGTGAGGCTAGTCAGAAGCGTATGGTACCCTTGAAAATGGAGTGGCATTAATCAACAAAAAAGTGAAGAGGTAAACATGTTGAATATTTACTCTGCATCATTACTTACAATACAGGAAAACATCAGCACACCAGGCACCCCAGGGAGTGAGCAGAGAAATAATTAAACAAATTAAGAGCTAATAAGAGTTTAAGGTCTGATTAGAGGTGAGGGACGGAATAGTTTTCTTTAAAAAAGTGTGTGTCAGGGACTAACCTAACTTTTAGTAAATAAGGTACAGCTATAAAACAAATGGAGAGTACAAGTTATTAATAAATTTAAGGATTATTTTCAACTTTTGACAGCAAAACGTTAACATTTGTCAAAACCAGAAAGCAAGAGCTCAGTCTGGAAGGAAGAAATTGTGCTTCATTTAT